GGATCAGTCTATGGTGGATATTCTGTATTCCATTGGGAAAACTACCCATTGTTTGGGTGGACACACAAGCATAGCCGGGATCAGTCTATGGTGGACATTCTGTATTCCATTGGGAAAACTACCCATTGTTTGGGTGGACACACAGGCATAGCCGGGATCAGTCTATGCTGGATATTCTGTATTCCATTGGGAAAACTACCCATTGTTTGGGTGGACATTTAAGCATAGTGGGGATTGGTCTATGCCCTGGTCTAGTTTCATACCTTGTCACAGCCATGAGGTTTTACTTTAAAAGTGACTCCAGGATTTGGTGGAGTTCTTTTTAACAGGGCATCTAATAATGGTATGACCAAGTCTTTCTGATGAGTACAAAACGAACACTTTAGTAAACATAGAAGCTACTTTGTACAGTAATACGAATCAAGAGTGGTGTAGTGGTAGTACACTCACCCCTCGCATTTGGGTCTCTTGGACCTAGCATCATGTCCGAGTAGAGACTTCATAAATTAATAAATTGATAAATTAATGACCAATAAATAATTTACCTCTGTTTTCTTTTTTAATTCAGATATAGTGTTGAGTAACACATAAAACGTCTCAAACCAAGGAAAATAACTAAGGATCAAAAGGAAAAAACAGGAAGAAGTGAAATAAGTAAGACAGATTTTGAAAATGTACTTATAATGAAAATTAACGCTAAAATCTGACGTTTCGGAGTCATCTTGACTCCATTATCAAGGGTAGTTTTTTGGTGGAGGCAAAGTGATTGAGCAAATGAATAAATGAATGAACAAATAAAGGAATGAATAAATGAATGAATGAAATAATGAATGGATAAATGAATAGACAAAAGAACAAACAAACAAAAGAAAGAACAAATGATCAAAGAAACGAATGAATGAACAAATGAACAAATAAAGGAATGAATGATTGAATGAATAAACAAATGTATGAATTGACAAATATGTAAAAGGCTGATTGAACGAATAATCGAATGATTGATCAAATGAATGACTGAATGACTGAACAAATAAATGGCTAATAAATAAATAAGCAAACAAAGAGCCCTATATCCCTTCAGTCAAACATGATTTCCCAACTGTTTTTTTTTTCTTTTCTCAAAACCAAAAAGACTTATTGCCTTACCTTAAGATACAAAGACATGTTTTTACATTTGGTGAATATCGACAAAATCCAAATCTGTATTGGCTTTGAAGATCCGTCAGCACAAACGTGTAACTTTGTACTGCATCCCTAAAGTAAACAGGAAAAGAATTAAAATATTCATATCCCCACCCTTGAGGGAATTTGTAAAAGGACTCCCCTATTCCCAGGAACTTACATTTTTCTTCCATACAAACTCTGTAATTTTGTTCTTACTCTGACCCCCCTCCCCTCTGTCAATTATTTGTCACTATTTCAGATCAGCTGAATTTGACTCTGAGCCTGACAGTACTCAAACCCAGGATGCACTGGTGAGAAGCAAGGGCTCTCATCAAAAATAACAATATTTTATTTGTTAGAGCAGGCTAATTATTTTGGCAGCTTTTGCTGATGTGGGCCTGCTTTCACTCACACACTCACTACCACGACATTTACTATTTTATGCACACAACACTCAGCTCACATGTTGATTTTTTCGGAGGGAGGAAAACTGGAGAAGCCAGAGAAAAACCCTTGTGGCACAGGAGAGAACAATGCATCAAACAAACTCAATTCACATGTGGCAACCGCAGGGCTCGAACTAGCCACCCAACCTGTTGGACTCACAGAGGTGAAAGAAAATGCATTAGCAGCGCACACCACCCATGCTAACTCTTCTTATCTATGCTTTCTAAAATCACAGTAGTGTGAAAAGCAAATACGGCACATGATCCCTTAGAGAAGGCTTTACCCTTTGAGTACATACAGAAAGACCGTGTCATGAGCTACTTACGAGGTAGAAATGCAAGGATAACAAAAGTCTGGGATTTGCTTGAGGGCTTCCTGTAAAAGACAAAGACAAATTAAAATAAATGAACTGAATTTTAACACTCAAATTAGTATGAAAATTTTGACTTTCATGGAGTGCGGGAGAAGATAAAGCAACTAGAAGAAAACTTCTCATAGCAAGGGAGAGAACAACAGATCAAAACCTCAATTCACACATAATATTTTGTGTAAAAAGGCCACTCCTGTCTTCAACCAAAGTGAGAGGTCATAGCAGTGAGACTCATCATTTAATACTTTCTAAGGTTATCTTACCTAATAATAATAATCAAAAATAATTTTAAACTCACCTCATCATTAAAATCTGGGGGATATATGAATTTAATTGTTGCTTCTGTTGATGTAAAAAAAAAATCGATCATTAATATAAATCAATACAAATCTCATTCCCAACAAGGATGGGTGATGTATGGTGATTTTATCTGTCCGTAATATATCTAGACGTGTCCATAAGAAGAGGTTCCACTGTATTATGCAAGCTCCGTAGTTGTAAGCCTGTTGCTATTTGTTGTTTCTCATACTGCCCAGGTGATATTTTTAGTGTTACAGTATGTTGTACCATGCGCATGTTGTAAGTCTATAGAGGCATTGTAATATCACGCGATGGCAGCCATGACAGGAGGCAGGAACAATTGAATCTGGTCTACAAGGTAGTTGATTTACATAAGAAAGAATTCAGTTTCCCAGGAGAAAACGATTCTGTTGTTGTTTCTCCTGTTATGGCTGCTGTCACGTAATGGTGCAAAGCCTCTATACTATATGTTCCCCTTTCAGGGTATAACTGCTATACAGGTATTAGCATTGTATTTGCTGGTGTGTGTATTATATATGTGAAAACTATGTTAAATAAATAAAAAATAAATTGAATTTGAAATTAAATGAGGTTTTGATAGTACTTATAGTTATCTCAACTTGTATGATTGTTAAGTTTTCATGTACTGAGAGAATAAATCTTGCACCCCCACCCCTCCCCTCCCAAATTGACCACCATATTAAAACCATTTTCCAGGTATCTAACAAATACAAGCTCTAAAAATGAATAAATGCATACAAAAACACAAACAAAAATATAAATATTCTATGAATTATAATGTGCAATATTTCCAAGAGGAATAGTTATCGTTTATAATCCTTAATGAAATCTATCCCAAAAATTTATATGATCTCAGATGGCAGACGTTAAAATAGATTTAAGTTTCAAATACACTATATCTACATAAATGAAATTAATAATTAACAACTCTATGAAGAAAACCTAATTAAATTTACAAACCACAAGTAAAATAAATATTAAGAGTGAAAAATGATTAAAAAGATAATAGTTTTCAAAACTGTTGGAACCCACTTTTAATTTAGCTAAATGAAGCAAATTTTTCCTGTCTCAACACATCTAAACTAAGAGGGTTTGATTTATTTTATGTAGGAAGAATATTACAATCTGACATATTTTGAGAATTAACAATCTTGCCCATGATCTTATCATATGCTGGTTTGGGAGGAATGAAATTTTTTAAAGTGTTTAAATATAGATAAATGAAGAGTGTGACTGACATACAAAAATGGAAAAAATGTGTCAATGTTTTGAACATTCGGTAAACAAAAACATAACATTGCGGAATTAAACACAAACATTTCACAATTATTCATTCAACCGAGCTGAAAAGCTTACTGAGGACGAAGAAAAACGACTTGTGCTTTAAAAAATATTAAATTATTTGTTCAATCATTGAAATTCAAAAATTATTAGATTTGTCTTTTTATGCTGAAGAAGCCCGAGTGCCAAAAGTACATTGTTAAAAAAGACTACTTTCCTGCAGAAAAAATAGCTATCAGGTTTTAAAATCAATTCATAAGTTGTAAGACTTCTAATTTTTTTTATGTGAGATGAAAATAGATAATATGGAGGGAGAATAGCATTTTTTGTACGTCGCAATATTTTTGTTCCTTTGGGGTACAAACCTTTCTTATTCTCAACTTCGGGAGCAGTAATCTCCAAACAACACTCATATATTTTCTCTGGATCAACCCTAGAAAGATTTTAAGAGCGTTACAATATACTCAGATAGATTATCTTAGTAATTCAAGGAAAGATACCTTAGTCGGGAGGCCATTTCAGGTAGAAAATTGCGTTCAAACTTTGATCTTCTTGGAAACCTCAGCTTCCTAGTCCGCCATGATGAAATATGGAAATGAATTGCGCATGCGTACATTCGGCCTTTGGGAGAAAATGGGCGTGGCCCGGAAGAGGACACACAGGGGAAGAGAGTAAACGGAAATGATCTTTCTCCGAAGAATTTATAAAAGTAATTTATCATTATATAAGGTCAAAAGAAGGAGATTTCTAGCGGAAAAGAAAATGTATCAATGGTAATTTCGAAGTGGGTACCTGGTTTGGGATTGGCTAACATTCGATATTCAAGGATTTTAGATTTATTTTTAACCGTTTTTGCTTGCTCATAATTCCCCTCCCAATCCTCTATCTACGTCTGACGTCTCTTTTGTTGTCATTAGCAACGACCAAAGGGAGTTTTTTGTCCCATTAAGCTTCGTATTAAGTCTTCTTACCAATGTAATTGACACAACGTCTGTGGTAAACGTGGAGATAAAATAAAAAGCCTTTTCTAATCTGTGGTTTAGCTTAAATTGATTCGAACTGTTACTACCGCTATGATTATATTGGTTCTTGTTAATCCGACCCACATACCGAATTTGACTCGAATTTTGAGAGTATTGATACGCTTTGATAATTTCGAGAACTATTTACATCGTATCCCATATGGTCTAGCGGTTAGGATTCCTGGCTTTCACCCAGGCGGCCCGGGTTCGACTCCCGGTATGGGAACATTGGTTTTAGTTTTTTTTATTCTTCATTTCCCCTTTTCCCCTTAAATTCATTGACATTTTATGTCGCTAGTTAAAAAAAAATCTTCCTCATTTTTTATGAATGAATTGGTGAAAATAAATTGAAAGATACATCAGACAACTATGTTTAACAGGTTCATTTGTAGCATTTTTCGCCCAAATTCATGATCAGTTCCATCTTACATCGTAAAGTACTTCTATTTAGAACGCGGCTATAAAATCGGTTCAGACCAGAAGATCACAGAAAAAGAAGACGTCTCCTTTTTCGCACGTTTAAAGTGCTAGGCTTCAGCCTAAGAGCTGTGAACATGTTTCTAAGAGTTACAATAAGTTTTTGGCTTCCGTCAACCAAACACTTACTGTCCGTCGTAAATTTGATGGACGGAAAACCCGAACCGTAAACGTGCCGTTTTTAGGATAAACGTTTTTCGTGTTCCAGGCATAATAACAAATGAAAGACCGCAATAGCCGACAGGAATCGTCACTTATTACGCTCTTTTCCTCCTGATTTGTGCATTGCCTTGCAAAAAAGAAATTTCAGAAAAAGACACGCATATGCTTGCAAATCTTCTAAAATATGAACAGGATAATCCAAAAATATGTCGGGAACATCAAGGACTAAAGAAAACTGCTTTAAGTTAGTAACAATTAGTACAATTAGCATGGATCTTAAAAGGAAATTGAATGATCCATAGGAAAATAAATAATTTCATATTTTTTGTTTCAAACGAGTTTATTTCACTATTTCTTACATCATGAAAAGTTAAATAATGAAGATTTTATGTGATCATGACGGCAGCCGTGTTGGATGACAAGAACAAAACAACTCATTACAAACGAGAAAGATTTCAATTTCCAAGAGTAAAGAGATTCTATTGCCCTGTCATTCAACATCGCTGGCTGATCATACAAAACCTCTATGAAGTTACAAATTCTAAAAATGTGTTAAAAATATTTAAATTTTTATACATTGTCCAAAAACAGTTACACAGCACAATCAGCGACGACGTCTAAAAAAATTCCATTTACGAATTATTCCATTTTTTTCATCATCCTAATTAGCAGAGAAATTGGGAGTTGAGTAAAAGAAAGATTTTTACAATTTTTAAAAAAATACAGACTGCCCTTCAATGTATCAAAAAATTTAAATGACGCATGGGATCACAATTTACAACCACGGCTTGTGCTTCTACACGCTGTTTTTTAGTACTATCATCATATTTTCACATTCTGTATTGATGGTTTTCAAGGCAGCCATGCTGGAGGAACTTAACAATAGAAATGTTAATGAATTCTTTTGTTATATCCTCCAACATGGCCACCGTGTCGTTTGTCATTTAATTCTCTTGGGAATGGTTGAAAACCATCAATTGATGAATGGAGCATCGTAGTTTTCCATGCTGTTTTCTTAAATATCTTTTATAAATCTTGCGTTCTGATTGGTTGGGAGCGAGTGCTTTATGAGAGCACACAGCACGTGCGTGCACCTTCATTTGCTTAACTCCTATCCAAAATAACAGTTAGTGAAATTTGTATTTTGAAAAAGGAAATAAAAAACCTGCTTGCTGTGCTGTGTGCAGGTATAAAGCACTTGGGGATTGGCAGAACACTTGAGAAGTGCCAAGAAGCACACTACTATGCGTCATGCTTCTACTAGTAACACTTCTCTCGTGTTCTGCCAACCTCAGCGTGCTTTATAACTGCACACAGCATGCATGTGTGTTTTCTATTTCTTCAATAGTTCTCAACCAATTGAAGCGCTTAGAACAAGGTCACTATAATAAAAGATACTAGTGGCAATGTCAAAAGATTTGATATAAAAATTTCTATAATAATTATGTCTGTGAAAATATGACCTAAGTTTAAGATTAAGAATACATCAAATTGAAATATGGTGCTCAACTTGAATAACTATTGTTCTGGACAGGACTGACCAGAGACTGACTAGCCTCTCATACATGTGAAAATGCTTTTATGTTTCCAATTGAACAAGAGCCTAGTCAGTCCAGAACGATAACTATTTAAATTGTTCGCCACATTTCAATTCGATGTGTAGAGCATAAATAATTTTTACAAGAAAACCTCCTTAAGACCAGTTTCCAAACACTGACTTCTCCTTTCATTAATTATTTTGACTCCAAAAATGGTAGATAAATCAGTAGATAAAGTTTATAGTCCCTGTGGTAGTCTAAAAATGCTGAATTCTGAGACAGGACTTACAAGTATAAAACCATGGAGATTTTTTGGTACGAAATGTATTCCATGGCAGAGTGAGAGGCAAGGTGTATTGACACACTTCGCTCCAGCCATAGAACACACTTTAAAATAATATTATCATTTAATTCTGCAAAGAACGTGTGTGAGATGGGAAAAGACCATGCCTAATATGAGACCGAGTCAGCACTTCTCCTTTGCTCACGATAGGGTACGATAGAGTTTAGAGGGAGTTTGAGCATTTCTTTGCAGAATTAAATGAATAAACAACTTTCTTATCAGTCAGCTAAGCTTCTGATACAACTGTGCATTTTTACTTGTCACTTTATGGCTCACCTAAAGGCTCATCAAAGTAAAAATACACAGCCGTATCAGATACTAAGCTGATAACCTCTATATATTACAGACCTTCCAGCGAAGAGAGGAATGTTAAACAGCCTTAATAGATTATTTTGTACATTAGTAGACATTTAACCAAGGCCTTCTTGTCTTCCTCTGATTCGTCTTGCAAGTTGAATATCTTTAGGCATTATGGTTACCCGTTTAGCATGTATAGCACATAGATTTCTATTTTACAGTTAAGGATAAAAATATTATATCAAGCATTCAAAAGTATTAGTCTATGTTGAAGTATATTATTTTCAGAGTAAAATCTCCATAATAATAACCTATGGATCTTAGACCCATAGGCTCCCATAAATCCAAAAACAACCTCTGGGCTGATCTAAGTCAGGGCATGGCTAACTCACAGATTGAACCCTAAAACAACCTCTGGGCTGATGAATAAATATTGTAAAGGATACGCATCTTCAAATAATCTGACTAAGAATTGTTCTGCTGACTGGAAGTAAACGGAAGAATATATTAACAGGATTACCAGTGAGAAAGTATGCTGTCGCAGGGTGAACAAAACTATATTTTCATTTTTGTACAGACCTTTTCTGAGATGGAGAACATGGTGCATTGTAGTCTAGCATAATTAGTACAAACATCTTTTTATATTATGCTTTATATAGTGTTGTTTGTACTAAAGCTAGACGGGTTATTGAACATAGAATAGGCCTATTAAAGAAGGTTTTCATGGCAGCCATGGTCATGAATGATCATCTAGTTCATGATTATTTGCCAAGGGAGAAAATGTCAACAAGCTGTCGTTCAAACCCTTCTACTGATTAAATTTTCTATAACCATTTTCAATATTACATTAACTCAGTAGTTGTGTGCTGTCTGCCAAGATATATTTTTTGATGTCAATTAAAAATAGTCAATACCTTTTGTCTGGTGCCAGCAAAAAACCAAATGCTAAAAAGCAGCTCGTAACTACCAAGTTTGCATATTATTGAAAATTGATGTAAAATAGAGTGCATACATAAATCCATGAAAAACTTCGTAACAAATTTCACAAATTTGCACAAATTAGTAAGTTCAGTAGACCTCAGTAGACTGTAGACCTACAAAACTTTGCTGTAATTTGTACAATTTTGTTGGTTAACTTTTTATGGTATGCATTCTAATGTTGTATAGTACAGACCTCTTGTAATGCCAAAAGAGCTCCAAGTTGCCATCTCAGTTCTCCATATTGATAAAATTGGTCAGCTATTTCTCTTACCTTCAAAAACATTTAAACACCATGTTACAACAATATTCATAATGAAACAAAACACACATTTATTTAAGAAAACAAATGAAAGTTCCCTCATTTTTGGTAAAAGGAGATAGTAATATTAATGATTTTTAGATAAACAAATAAAAAAGGTCTTACCACTCTCATAAAAGGGGCTTTCCTAACCAGTAGATGAGTTGTCTTTTGATAAAATCTGATTTCCCTTAGTGCTCGTGTCCCAGGCCGAAATTTTCTGACATCTGCGAGAAACATGACAAATGGCCTGATTAACTCTTAAGGTATTCCAGATATCCTTCACCTGACCTGCTCTCAGACCAATTTCACAAAATTCATATAATTCTCACTCACACTTAGTCACACCATACATGTATATACACGGCTGTTTCGTCCACGTCATTAGGTTCCAGGCGCGCGCGCGGCCAAATCTCGTTGCTAAGCTGCCTTTTTTCCTTAGCAACAAAAATGGCGGCAACTTTGAATTTTTGTTTCCCTTTAAAAACTGAGTTAAACGTTTCTTTGCAAGTTATGAACTTCAAACAGTAAATATAGGTAAGTAAATATAAATTATTTGCAGGGATATTTTTGGTGTGGAAGTAACAACGTTTTTTTCACAAAAATCCAGTTTTTCCTACCGAGCGATGTTTCGTGACTGAACACGAAGTCCTGAAAAATAAAGACATTCAATACGTGTTTACGGTCTTTCAAGAGCAAACAACCATCAACAATTAAATATAATTTCAATTGTCATTCGATAATCTTATTAAAAATTTAAATACCGGTTAATGAACTTTTTTTCACACTATCTCTAAAAGCTTTCTTTA